AACACGAATGAGTAATACTAATCAAACATACTGGCGACTTTATATATATATATATATATATATATATATATATATATATATATAATTTACTTTTAATTACAATCAATCCAACCAACACATTTAATATTTGTTTTGACTTTATTATCTAGATTTTTGAATGGATGGTAGCCCAGTAGTTGTCCAATCCATTTGTGACTAATTAACTATACTCGAAGTATTTATTGATATTTTTATTATATACTAGCTGTACCCGTTCACGCTTTGCCGTGATTTAGTTTAAATTAAATAGTTGAACAAAGATGTGTATTTGTTATATTTAGTATAACGTTACTACTATCTGTTCAACAATTTACCTATTCAACCATTTGTCTACGAATTTACCTATAAACTTATCAATCAATCTAACATTTTATTGACTTACCAATTTACCTGTCAACCTATTTGCCTATCAACTCGTTTCACATGTCTACCAATTTACCTGTCAACCTGTTTATTCGTCTTATTATTTGTCTATCTACCAGTTGTCCTGGCCAACTTACTTGTCTACCAATTCACCTGTTTACCAATGTCTATCCATGTCTATCAATTTACCTGTTTACCAATTTACCTATCGACATATTCATCAATACACTATTTTACCTGTCAATCAATTTACCTGTTTTCTAATTTACCTATCATCCCGTTCCAAATGTCTACCAATTAACCTGTTCAATAATTTATCTATTGAACAATTAGCCTGTTTAACAATTTGTCTACTAATTTACGTATCAAACTGTTTATCAATCTACGTTTTTACCGGTCTACCAGTGAGTCTATCTACCAGTTCTTCTCTCTACTATTGTACATATCATCCATTTCACCAGTTTATCTTTATAAATTCCCTAATTCACCTTATTTATCTATGCATTATAAAAAAATTAATGCTCAAATAGATTCTACGTTTTAGTTAGGGAATGTGTATGTGAAAAAGAAAAGGGCCGTTCTTAAAGTTTTCCCAGTAATTATTCGATTTTTTGTTGCCGTAAGGACCATCCTTGGACTTCAACGAACATTAAAAAAAAATGGCCAAATTGGTCTAAGCGTTGTTGAGTTATGCGCTTACCAAATCATTTTCCGATTCATTTTTATATATAAGATATGCAGCTATACCCATGAGAGGCAATTTTCACCTGAGACTATATTTGAGAACCTCAAGTGACAATTTGACATCAAACCTGCCTGATGTCGGGCTTTGGCGGTAGCGGGAATCGAACCAGCGAACCCGGGGGACTAGTTAGGTTTAGCCCACGTTCGAACTGTTTACGCCACCGCTGGGCCCACTGGCAACTTTATTTGATGAAAAAAATTTCAATGTTTATCATTTGTCACGAGGTTTGATAATTGATATATGTGGGTAATGATTGTACTTCATTTTTTAATTATTAATTTTTGCCAAAGCAATTAGGCACTTACATATCTCACTTTTTCACTTTCCTTAGGAAAAGTTATAGTAATCGCAAAATAATCTTTTTTTTTATTTCTATAACGCAGCAAAATGTGCAAAAAATGAAATGTGCATCCAATTTCAATAATTCAAATAATATTTTACTTGTTTTGACGTTTTTTACATTTTTCAGAAGGCAGATCCAGCAGTTTTGTAGTTTCAGAAATGTTAAAGATTTGGTAATCATTGATCAATCATTATTGATTCAAATACACGTAGAAATATTGGTACGCACTTGACAGGTAAAGACAAATACCAATCAAAGACACAGTCAAGGTATTCACATGGATCGGCCAAAATAAAACAAATTAAACTTACACTTTCAAAATTAAATTGGCTTATTAGTTGAAGATCAAAATTATCATTAGATAATAAGCTTCTAATTTATAAGACCATAATTAAACCTGTGGTGTGACGTATGGATTTCAACTGTGGACATGTAGTAAATCAAATGTGAGACTTGTTCAACGATTACAATCTAAAACACTACGGACGATTACTGATGCCCCGTGGTTTGTCAGCAATAAAATCATACATGATGACCTCAACATCCCTTTCGTAGTGGATGTTATCAAAAATACCAGTACTGGACATCATGCTAAAATTTTCGATCATCCTAATGCAACTTTGGCTTGATAATCCACCTATAAGAAGACTACGCAAGAAACAGTCTATAGACTTAATGTAAAAAAATGTTTTCCATAGTCAATTGCTTAAATTACTACTATTTGTTTTTCCTTTTTCTTTTATCTTTTTATTTTTCTTAATTTATTTTCTTTATTTTTATATTTATCTATTTTTTATTTATTTATTATTATTATTATTTTTTTATTTCTTTCTGCGATTATTATTATTATTATTGTGTGTAATTCAGCCATATAACTCATAGGGTATGTAAATAACTCTGATTGTTATATAATATGAATGAAAAAAAAAAAAACATGATAGGTAGACTGGTGGATAGGTAGACAATTTGACAAGTAGATAGGTATTGAAATAGGAATATGAAGAGTTAGGCAGGTAGACAGGCTGGCAGATTGGAAGGTTGACTAACTGACATGTTGACAGGTTAAAAGTGTAATGCAAACAGGTGTGCAGGTAAGCAGGTGCAAAAGTAAACCAGTTGACAACTATGATAGGTAGATACTTAGACAGGTAGTCACTTAAACTGGTTAACAAGTAGGCAGCTAGATCACATATAAATAAAAAAATTATTAATTAAATTGATTATTTACACATATTGGTAATGGATCACTACTGCTTGATATAAAGTTGTACATGACGCGGGATTTGAACCTGGATCTTGTGATATTAAAATAGTGGCTCCACCATTTGCGCCACGAATACCCCACTTATGAATATTATTTCGTACTATATAGAGGACTGTATTTTGTTAATCATATAGATCGGTACGTAAATTTAATTTGCATGGAAGTGCATCAACACATTGCTCTTAAAATAACATTTAGCATATAATTAATTGCTGTTATTTCAACATTGAATCAATAAATTTCATTTCATTATTATTATTATTAATACTGGAGTATTGGTGGTAGTTGGCTGGAGTGTTCATAGTATAGTAGTGGTAGAAGGTTTGGCCTCGCAATCAGAGGATTGATGTTCAAATTCCTGGTATCAAGCAGTAGTGATATTCGTTGTTGCTTAGACTCTAATATATTTCCGAAGAAAATATTCTTTCAGGGCATAGCTACATTATATCACTTTGCAAACAAAAAAGAAGTCTTTGTATATGTTTACTTCATTTCCAATTTTTCTACATATACCTATCAGATAACGTTTTGACGTAGGCAGAACTATAGTAACTAATTACAATATTGAAACAATTTACTGATTTTTACAATATTTAATGAAAATACTTTTTAGTAAACAGCAATATAGAAATGTTCTCGTTTATATTGTATTTTTATTTATTATATGCTATGGTTCGAAAGACCTATCCGCATCCTGATAGAAAAATATATTCATATACATCATATTTTTTACATGGCAAAGAAAAACTAAAGGTGTTTATTTTAAATAATTTCGATTATATATTATAGGTATACAATATACACACATCATACATTTTATAATAGACATAAAATACATGTAACATACGTAAAACAACGTACATAAGATTACATATATAAAATATTGCATGAACGAAAATGATGCAATTGTTAATCTCTAATATAAAGAATATTTCAAAACTGGTATAAAAACTTTCCTATAAAATAAATTAGTATATTTATTATAAAATTGTACAAAAAATAATTTCAAAATGCGAATAATGATATCTAAATATACATATTTTTTAAAAATAATTGGAGATGTAAATATGTTGTGAAAAGTTTAAGTACAAAGTATTTTTTTCTATATCACAGTAGTTCTATATATAAAAATATATTATATTCAAGCAATAATTAAAAATAACTTCATAAAACTGTCAGATATAAAATATTAAAAAATAATAGTGATAAATCAACTTGTCAACCTATAGTTTACAATTTTCAATATTAAACCAAGACCTAAATTTAGGATTTAGCAATTGCTGCATTTGCGACTAAAAGTGGCGCACAATAACAAGTGATGTTAATGCAAAACTTAGAAAATAATGTAAAATTGTGATGTAATATTCACAATCAATAATTTATAATATCAATTTATCAGTTAATAATAATGGTTATAACGTATAATAAATATTGGGCACACAGGTACATTCAGAATGTTTACATAATACATTGACAAATACTATTAGGGGTTAATTTGTTTATAATATTTCCTATGCATGTTAGTTTATGTAATGCAAATACATAAATATTTCTAAATAATTGATTTATAAAAAATTAAAAATCAATTTTAGTTTTCTAAATAGTAAAATTATACTGTAGGAAAATATGAGTAAGATATCGCATACGAAACTTACAAATATGTATTTTACTTGCATATAAGTAAATGATATAAAGATATAATACATTTTACATGTCGGTTAGAGTAAAACTAACTTGCAATAAATAAAATTATAATTAATTTTTTCTATGAAAAAGCTTGATATAAATACTTTTTGATTCATAAAAATTGAATATAGTAACTCACGTTCAAGAAGTAAATATATACATATATAAAAAATTGAGAGTAGTAGATTTCAATCGATTTTTATATCGCGGCATCCTAAAAAGTAATTTTCATTTAAAATCATATTTTCCATAAATTTCAAGTGAAGTAGAAAAATATGAAGGTTGTATGTACAGTTCAAAATATAAATATTGGACAATTAAACAGATTTAATATTGGACTCACTAGTTGGAGAAAGCTTTTGATTTCAACAATCAAGACAATCAAAAAACTTCTCTTCACTTCATTTAAATATAAATCTATTCCAAATTCGTCTTTCAAAGACTACCAAAAATACTAATAAATAATTTGATATAGTATTTGGGTGAACTCAATCCTACAATATGAAAAACCAAAGGAAAATCTGCTTCATTTCCTCTGCAAAATCTGCTTGATATCGTGCTAGCTAACGTTACTATCAACAATACAGTTCGTCAATAAATATGATTTTTTATGAATACATAACTAAAATGATGGTATCCAGTACAATTCAATTTATAGCAAAATATCTCCTAAGCTATGTCACCTAGTTGGTTGAAGTTCCTCCTTCCTGGGCCGAAGAATGAAGTTCAAGTTGTATGCTGTATTTACAGCATAGTAAACATTAGCATTTTGAGGAAGAACCATTTCTGAAAAAAAAAATCATATAAATCAAAGAATCTCTTATCATTTATGCTCAGGTGTGATAGTTAAATGTATTTTTTCCGTAAAAGTTAAATACATCAACATTCCTGACCTGCATAAACTGTAATCTCTATGAATTTGATAATAGCAAAAATTTGAGTCCAGTTGAATTTGATAATAGCAATAATGTATAGAATCATTTGCTACCATGAATATTTTAACTAAGTAAACGTAGTTATCAAAATATATTCTTACCTCGGTCAGGCAGTACTTGTGCAAGTGTATATTTACTAGGATCACCTTCTAAATTAAGTTTTAACATAGCATTTCTAATAACTTGCGGTGTGCGTTCGCTATTACTTAACATTATACTTTTGTAGAGAACTATTCCTTCCGTCTCGCGGCTTTCAGTCTCGTATGTGACCTTAAATAAATTTAAAATAAAGCATAAGAAACTTGATTGATTAAAGACAAGATTAGACTTGTTGCAAAAATATAAATTAAAGTTCAAAGAAAAATTCATTCAATTTCAATACCGGAATTGTAAGAACAATCAGAATATTACAGAAACATCTCTATTGGTGTTCAGGTATAAATAATGTCTCAAAAAGTAAACTATACATAAACAATAAGTGATATTTAAAATTTAGAGTGAATTATTTACTTTAATAATATAAAAATCAGGTCCAGTTGAGTTGAGTTGCGGTGATGTTCCATTTTGTTTAAGAGTGTTGTGCTTTTGCTGAAAAGCACCGCTTCCAGCGCTTGATAAGGAAACGTCCAGGGATGGGAGGCTGGAACTGCTGGAAGCAGCTGACATTCCTGAAAATAAATAAAATTAATTTTATTTTATTTTCATCATTTAAGTAATATTTTTTTACTGAATCAAACGTTTGATAAATGCCAACAATAAAGTTATTGCAAATAACTTTATCCACTTACCGGGTGGAGATACCCCTCTATCCAAACTATTATTTCTAGAATTTGGAGCACTATTAGCAATTTCGTAGTAAAATTGTGACCCACCGCTACTAGATGTGCTCGTTATAGAATCATTTTTCTTGTGACCCTTTGAAAAGAAATATAAAAAAAACAAATTTTAAAACAATTATTGTCAAAAAATTTGTATGATAAAAAATTATGTAAAAAAAATCTATACTTTTATTTATTTTACAAATTAATATGAATCCAAATAAATTTTTTCACTTAAATATTTCCAAACACGAAAACATGATATTTTAAAACAAAAATTTTAAAATTTAAAACACACACACCTATATTACTATTGATTAGAATGATTAGTATTGATTCAGGAATAGCAGTAAAAACTGAAGTAATTAGTTAAGAGCAATAGTATAGTCGTATCGACCATATAAAAAGAGTGAATTTAATTTATCGTTATCCAAAAAAAGAACAATATTTAAGCCATCTACGCAAAAAATAGACTAGTATTAATTAACTCTCATGTACTCTATTGAGCAATAATTGAACAATCATTAAATGATTAGTACTCGAAAGTCGATTTGAATGAGCGTAATTTGTTACAAGCATTTAGCCACCTACAACGATTACATAACTATTATCTACTACTACAATTCTACTTCATTCTTCAGTTTTTTATACTATATTATTTTAGCATAAATCTTATTTTTCTTATACTATATTCTTTTCTTTCATCTTATCTTTTTCATATGAATCCAATTCTTCTTCATAGTTTTCTCAACTTATCTTCATCTTCTTACTTCTCCTACTGTTTCATTTCATTTTAATTCTAATTCAACTTCCATACATTCTAATATCTTACACATTCTAATCATTTCTTTACATATATGTTGCAATTGAAATTCTTATACATTCTGATATTTTATATATATCACATTTGGAATCACCAGGAATCGAACCAACGATCTCCGGTGAGAAGGACATGCTACATCCTCCACTAATTTGTTTTAAAATTAAAAATATCAAGTAAAAACATAAAATTATGGTAGGTTTAAAATAAAGCTATTAAGGTATTCATTCCTTCATTAGATACTAAAACATTTTACTTTTTGGAGCGCTTGTGTGCCTGGTCCATTTATGTTATCACAATATATTTCAGTTACTACTATGCATTTGGATTAAGAATAATAAGAATAATTCTAATCCAGTTATCAACATGCTGTAGGGTAAGTTATAGTAATCGCAAAAAAATCGAAAATAAAATTTTTTGCATATCTTTACGTTTCAAAGGTTTCCACCTTTTGACATACCTTAGAAAAAATTGAGGTATGTGTGTGTATGTTTGGATACAATGATAAATTACCTGTGGTGGTTTTTTGTTGACTTTTCCATTATCAGCATTAGGCTGAACTTGACAAGACAAACTGTAAGCCTGTCGGTCATCTAAGACTAGTAGTGAGTCGAACCATCGATCAAATAATGGATCAATAGAAAGATTGTAAGCATTCGCCGCTCCTTGAAGAAGTTTTATTTGAGCCAGGACTTCGAACTCTTTCCGTCTCTTATCAAAATTAATTAGTCCTTCTGCTACAGTATCAGGTATTGCTGTGTCAATCATTGTCAAGTCAGTTAAAAAAGTCCCTAAATAAGGTATCGTTCCGTGGCTTATGCTGGAACAGTAATTGTTTTGCTTTTGGAAAACCTGTAAAATTAATTTCCAGATTGAAGGAAATGATATCTACAAAAATCAAAGTGTTACTTTTGACAATAATAAGAAATTAGTTATAAAATCAAATTAAAAGATAATATTATTACAAACTACCTTTTGCAAATGTCTGTCATGTTCTCCAGCAGTGTCTGCAAATTTAGCGGTGCCTTCCCTCATAAGAAGTTCACGTTGTGCCCATTGATTATTGTCTTCACTAAAAATTCTTGCTAATTCACTAAATAGTTCTAATTTATCACGAGCTACTGCTGACCAAACTCTTTGCAATCGGTATATAGGATTGCTTTGAAGTCCTGAAATAATAATTATACGGTTTCATCCCATAATTGATTTATGAAATATAATATGATATAAAATTTGGTGAAAATATATATACCGCATATAATAGCTTTAAGTGATGAAAAATTCTTCAAAATTCGCAGTTCTTGAGCAATATCGATCCAGGTGCCAATGATTGCAGCTCTTTCATTTGGCTTAAGTCCTGGCTCTACTAAAATACTTGATATTACCCTGCAGATTAAAAAAAATAGATTTAGATTGTTTTCATAGATAACATTGGATGCCAACAATTATAAAAGCATAATTGACGTTCATCCTGACCAATTAGCAAATCATGTATACATGGAAGGTTAGCCGACCAGACTTAAAAAAAAATACTTGGAGACGTAATATAGTATAATTAACTATAATACTTTATTTTTACCATGTTTTATTGTTTTTTTTTTCTTTTGTTTATAGTTTTTTTATTATGTCTTAATTAGCTCTAGCAGATACGCCACTGGGGGTATCTACTAATTTGTAATCACCTTATTTTAACTCGTGCTTGACAGTGTTTTCTGCTTAATGTAATAACTTATATATAATAGATTGCAGAATAATATTAAATACAAAAAAGATATTTTTTATAAATCAGTTTACCAAAAGAGATAAGTAATTGATAGAAGTATTTCGATAAAAAGTGATGACACTGACTAATCTACTTATTTTCCTATGGAGAAAGCATATATCTTGGCTGGCGTTTTTAATACTAAATCATAGTAATATCTATAATATTAATATTCTGAAGTTTTTATTGATATTATTACCTTAATGAAACAGCATTAAATTGATTGACTGTTGCTAATACTGTTGCGGCTTCATGCTGCCTGTCTTTATCTCTTCTACTCCAGACTGCTCCTAAGCACTGATGCGGGACTAATTTCTTAAAGAGTTGCTGAAAGAATAATTTTAAATATAAATTTAACCTAATGTCTAAATCAACTTAAATTTCAATTATTATTACCATATCCATTCTAGTCAGCTGTTCCGCAAAATGCTTCTCAGGTACATTGGGAAATCTATACCCCTGCATCGTATGCAGAGGTGTCCTCATTCCTGGTGCCAGGCATATTCCAGCAATGTCCAAATCCAACCCAGCCACTTCTGGGCTGAATTCGTGAACGAAATGGCTTCTATGGTCGGGAACATACGTATCCGGCAAATATGTGGTCATAGGTGGCGATTTTACTCCAAAAGTGAAATTCTCCATCCCTAATTGAGCATAATTTCTTGTAGAATACACTATGGATCCGTTGTCTACTACAGTCTGCGATTCTCCAAAATTTTGGCAGCTGTGATTTTTTGGAATAGCGGCATAAAGTAAGTTTTCTACGGATCCGCTTTTTAAACCAATTTTGTTGACCCGATGTGAAATTTTGGCATGCAAATCCGAATGGGGTAAGTAATGGGTTGTAAATTGGAGCAAATGAGAGAGACATGGTGATAAAGTTTCGTTTGCGGATTTGAAGTCTTCGGGGTAACTGTCTAGCCAGACATGGAGTGCTGATATTAAAGTTCTGGAATAAAAAAATAAATAAATCTAATTAGATATATACTTAAATAGTACTTAAATAAGATATGGATAAAATGAACTACTTTAAATACTCAAAACACAAATTTAAAATTATTAGTTATAAATAAAGATGAACAATGCACGAGACCATTTCAAACAATAATCGTATTAGTTTTTCCATTTATTTCATATATCAGCTATCTAAATTAGTATAATATAAAGATTTTATATGTTTTTTTATAAAAATAACCATAATAATATAATTTGAAATGTTTTATGTAAATGCAAGTAATTACGCGTTCTGTTTGGCTTTGGAAAAAAATATAATTTCAAAATTAGATCCGTGACTACTTACTTTCTATGTTGTTCGCTCTCCGTTAAATTATCTTCTAAATACTTGTAGCGTTCTGTCAGTAGTTCCAAAACTTGTAATGTCGTTGCAAACGCTCTGAAAAAAAATAATATTAATTATCATATCGTTGATTTCATAAAATTTGCCTTCAGGGAAGCTTCAATTATTATTGAATGCGGTATATATTTAAATTTTATGTAACTGTATAAAATGAATACAGCAACAACTAGTTGTGGTTTATCTAAATTTAAGAAATTATTATAGTTGCAGTTTCATCATTTTACCTGTATGTGGCCAAAAATACATTGACATATGTGCTTTCTAATTCTCCATCATCTGTCGCCAAAGCTTCCACCAATCTCGCCAATGTACCAGCTTTGACGAATCGAACCCGAACTGTTTCCCATTCCAAATGTGATATTTCGTCCTCGGAGTCCTGGAAAAACACAAAAAATTAGTAACATTTTTGAAAAAATAATTTTTAAAGGCAAAGGGGAAATAATCTGTGAAATCATCTCTGAAATAACTGTTTTATTTTAAAAATTGAATCTAAATTTTTTTAACAATTATGAAATAATACCTCATCCTCGATCTTCATTTATTAATTTCCCGTAGGGTAAGTTATAGTAATGGGATAAAAATCGAAAATGAAAATATCTGTTATTTACTTCTAATCCGATTGACTATGTTTTGTTTATTTATTTTTTATAAAACAAGAATAATGAAAGTTGCATTATTTATAATAATCTATCTGAAAGCATTTAATATTCCTCAAATATTTCATTGAGGTACGGGAAGTACCAGCAATTTGCCTTGCTTAAGGCACGATGCCATATCTTCTTTATTTTGTCTTTATCTTGTTTATTTTATTCATTGTTCGATTTAATATGAATATCAATTATATCAATAATTTTATTGCTCATAAACTTTAATATTGTTGTATTTTAAAATTGGAACTCATTCTACATCCTCTGTTTTGCGAATTCACTGAAATATTTCAAGAACGTAAATACTGCTATTGCAAGACATTTTCCTGTTCTAAATTTACAATTTATCCAGAGACGAAGTGCATTCTAGCAGAATAAACAATATACAAAGAATATTTTCGAAATTGTGTTGAAGAATGTCGAATATGTAAACACATGCTAAAAACATTGGAACGGGCTTAAAATAAACCAACGCTAGAAATAACGAATTTTATGTGTAAAGAGTAAGCAGTTTTTAAATAAATTTCGATTATTTAATCTTAAAATTCTTGAAAACTTGCTTAATCAAGAAGTAGTCAAATTTATTTACACAAACATCCTCACACCAAAGTGAAAGCTCAATTTGCTTTTGTTGCAGAAATATTGGAATGATGTAGGGTTCTACATCATGTTCATAGTTTCTTCGATGTTCGAAGTGTTTCTAAATCAATTAGTGGAAAAAATTACAGATTTGTGGGCGTGTATTTGTAATTAAAATCGAATCAGATCTCATAATCTTGAATCAAGAATGATTAAATAATAATACATTGGAATAAATATTTGAGTGCACTTAACAGACGAACTATTAATAAATACGACGATAAGTCATTTTTCTCACACGCCGTAAAAGTTTTTAAAAATAGAATATTTTTCTATGTAAATCAAATCTAGTTTACGGTTTGAATCAGATAAAATTTATATTATGCGTTGCATTAAAAATTGCATCATACTTGTTATATAACGTTGCTTAGCGAGTTCTTGTATGGCATTGACCAGAATAATATTTGATACGAGTTCATCTTCGCGTGCATCATAATTTATCTCACCTCGAATACTGCACTTAGATATAAAAGGATGGAAAATATAAATATAAGAAGTAATTAAGTAGGCATTGTGTGAAAGTTCCAGGCCTCCTGTATTATCATAAATTGAAATTTATTTTATATATAAAACAATTTTTATAATATCGAAGAATTAAGCGATTAAATGTTTATAGAATACAATTTTTACACAAATATCTCATAGTTCTTCAGCTACTGGAAGATGCCATCAAAAATTTAGTAGAAACGTTGAAACTTTAGCAAGGCATTATCTTGAATTAACCAACTTTTGAAGAAATTTATTCTATTTTGTCAGCTTTTAGTTTAATATAACCTGGAAAATAATACCCGAGTGCGTTTTTGTGCTCGCAATTGCTCTAATATAACTACGATTTCAACAAAAAAAATTAAGTTCTCATGTAAAAATTTATATATTTTGTTGTACAGATCTTTTATTTTTTTAAGGGGAGTCCATTAATCAAAAGAGGCTTTTAGAAAGAGAGAGGGTTGGACAAAAAAACACGAAGAAACACGTCGAAGAGGAAGGCGTCTAGTTAGATATCACGTGTATTTATTTTTTACCTAATTAAAAAAAATACGATTTTTTTGTAAATTTGAAATATTTGTCAAAAAATTTTACGTAACTAAAAATACTTGTGATGTTTGCTGGGGGAGGGCGGGTAATTTCAAATATCACAACGTATCATCAAAGTTTCCTTCTTGGGGGTGCAAAAATCTATAAAAAATCGATCACGTAATTAATGGGCGCCCTCTAATATTGTAAGTTCGAGTTGATTCTATAGTTACTTTCATGTACTAACACTGTACTTCTATACTACTTTCATGTATGGTTTTTTACATTAAACTATTAAATATATTATAGAAGAAAACAAAACATTCAAAATATTAAACAAAATACGATGATATATTTGCATAAAATGCATACTACTACTACGTTATGTTATTTACTTACTTAATATATTGCCATTATTTGTCTTCTTCAAAAAAATTTAAAAATCGACTTCAAAAAATTCGAAATTTGTCCAATGATATAACTTAGATCTAGGTGAAAATCTATTAATTTAATGCTAAAACAATTTCCGAGTAATTCAAAATATCCTGAAATGTTAAATGCGTCTCAATTATTACCAACATCAAGTACATCAATCTACATGATTACCTATAGAATGGTTGAAATATAATTAACTTGTTTAAATTACTTTATTGTCAAAAGGTTGAACATTTTTAAGTAAAAATTAGTCGACCTACAAAAAACAAGTTAAAGTAATTTTAACTCAGAACCTATATGGCAGTTGTAAATTATATCATCGTTGGACAACCAAGCTGCTTTTTTTATTAAATTAACCGATTATCATTAGACTGTTTAAAAACATATTGAGCTCATGCAATTTGTCTCAAAGCTTAATTACTACTTATTTAATTTATGGCCTGCAGACAGTACGATAATGTGCTTGAATATCACCGCCCTGTTGTGATATTTGCGCTTCATTATTGGACGATTTTACACATCATTAAAATTGAAATAAATATAAAACATGGTATTAGTAATTAGATAAAATAGACACATTTATAAAGAAATATTGGAAATAAACAGTATAATAAAAACTTGATACTTACACTAGATGCACTCGGTGTAGGTCTATGATAACGCACTTTTTTCAGGTACACGGTGTAAATAGCACCTTCCACGCGCTCTTCGCCCCATAAACGCCAAGTAGGCTGCTGGAACAAAGGTCCAAGGTTAAAAATCGTTTATAAATTATAAAATTATTTTTATTTATTAGTTTGATTATAATTCTATAATGTGTAAAATTATTAACAAAAACGATTTCGAGTTAGCGTAAATATATGCATACTAAAGGGAAGGGAGTTGCCAATAAAATTTGAAGGAGAATTTGACTCGATAGATTCAATTGACTCCAGAAATAATTATTTTTAAAGCAACATCACTCCTTCTTAGTATTTCTCCTAATGAAATAATATTAAGCTCATATTATTACAATTTTACTTATAAAATACCTACTTAGGACAGTGAGTTATATTTCATCAAATTCACATTATTGCATTACATTTATTAAATTGCGTGATGTTAAGTGATTATGAAATTCTTTCTAATAATTTATTACATTTGCAATTTGAGTAAATATTTGAGTATATAGGAAAATATGTTATCAATTTCACATTATAACATGATAAATTTATATTTCTAATAAAGAATAAATTTAACAATTTTTAGTTAGATAATTTTAAGGTGCAAAAACGTTTAAATTTTCTGCAAGCATTTTGTAAGACATAGTTATTTGTTATGGCAATAATTATTTGATTAAATGTATTAATAATTTAAAGAATCGTAGAATAAGTGCAAAACTACAATTAGCAGCCTAATTCAAATTGATTTGTTATTATGATGTGTTTTGGTTATATTTAACTGAAAGTGAAACATTTAAAATCATGAAAAGTGACCATCCTCATCTCACAGTGAAAACAACATTTTTTAACTCAGGAAAAACAGATGTTAAAGATTGGCAAAGATTAATAAAAAAAATTATATATATATATATATATAATGAGGATTTTATGGAATTTTGATGATGTCTCAAATGTGAATCTAAATGACTTGATACATTTTCATGTCTCTGCAGACTAGACATTCAATTATAAGAGCGCATATCAAAAATAAACTGCTCTTCAATAAATCGAAATTCAATTTAGCTTGCGTCTGTACAGACAATTTCCACAAAGGCTTTGATACAGGTAATACAATTTTCACTGAACAGAAATATTGATTAAAAAACATAATGGAAACTTAGATGCAATATTATGTATGATATTAGTTTGAACCATTAGATAGTTTTTAGTTTAATACCATCAGTTCTTTTGATTTTTTTAGAATATTTTTGCTGTTAAAAATATTTTTATTCTACTAATAGAGAATATGCAAGTACTGCAATACATCTCATTCCCAAAGAATGAATATAAAGAAATATTATATGTATATATGTGTATATGAGTATGTATTTGCAAATAATATTCTACTTATAATAATTCAATTACATCTACCATAACTGAAGTCGACGAGTTGATTAATGGCAAATGAAAAAAAAACATTAATTGACATCATTAGAACATAATTAATGTTTAACGAAGAAGATTTAATTTAGAACTCAATTACCTCCTATTAGAGACATATTGTAGTGCGCCAATGTAGTATAAATGAATTTTCAAAACATCTGTTATAAAATAAAATTTATAGAAAATTTCCAAAAATTGTACAGATAAATATTCTTGACATTTAAAAAATTTTTGAAATATACATAAATTCTAAAAAAGTTCAAAAATTAAATTTTTGTTTGTAGAGATGCTTTAAATAATTATATTATCGATACATAATTAAATTCGCAGCCTATATGTTCCTCTTTGACCTATTTAGAATCGATGTATATATGTCCACAGTCTGTGAAGCTTGAAGTCAATAGAAAAGTTCATTGAAGCTTGAAAATTGGCGTTTGATGTAGAAAACTGCGACTAATTCAACCGTTAAATCAAAACTCAGTACATAATGTCCCATGATAATGTTGTAATATTGTTAGTTAATGCACGGTTGAACTTTGAAGACACAAAATTAAATTTGCATTATTAATATTAATCCAGGGAACCATGGCAAATGTGGGATTTTGTGCTTCTTGCATGAAATTTATGTATATCATAATTTGAAAAATTCAAAAAATGAGAATTTTAATATTTATGTAATTGAATTTCTGCTGTATAAGTCATAATATGAAAAGTAAACCATAGTTTCTTTTAATATTTAAGTTTCAAGGTCTTGTGATCATTCTGATGTACTCTAGGGCTTAGACATAATGAATGTTGAATAATGGATGTGTGATGTATATTCTTGAAGTCGTTTTGGAAAAAGCGGAACCACCAATTCAAAAAATATTGGGCTCGTATAAAAGATGAGATAAGTCATAATATTTACGATATACAAAAACTTATTCTCAAAATGATTCGAAATGTTAGGAACTTTTTAAAATCGTTCTTTATGGCTCAAGACAATGTAGCATCTATGCGTCAGTGCACACCTTATGTTTCTTATTGCGTGAAGATAATTTAACAGTTACCATATTCATGTTTCAAGCAGTGTTTTATTTTGCATCTAACCATTAAAATTTTTTTACCAGATTTATCGAATTTTCAAGAAAAATTGTCTAAATGTAAATCAATACATGAGTCAAAAAGTTGTAACAATGAGGTTAAAAAATGGTCATCTGATGTGGCATAGAAATTTTTAATAAAATCAATGATTAACTCATTATCTTACACGTGGCTTGAAATCCAAATTAACTTTTTATATAACTAAAAAAATAATATTTTTTGAGGGCTCAATTGTATTTAAAGTAGCCCACACCCAAGAGCTTTATTTCAAATATGGAGAGATTCGATACTATGGCGAGAGCAGCAAAGACTTTGAGGCGGACGTACTCTAAAACTATTAATTTTACAAAAAATGGTTCTCTGAAGAATTGTAGGATATTTTATCTAGTTTATTTCGTACATACGTACTTTTATCGTAAAATGAGACGGAAAGGAGATATTTTAAAAATACTGTTTTCTGACGCCATTTTTTCAATATGGCGGCAACTCGTCGTAAAAATTTGAGGTAGCAAATTTTCATAAAAAGCACTCTGAAATTCATAAGATTTTCAGAAATCTTTGAGTACTGTACCAGCAACAGCCTTTTTTGCACCAAATGACTAGACTATTATGCTTCACGTTAAATAAAGGTTAATATTTAGTATCTAATTAGTTTGATCAGATTGCTTTAAAGTTAAAATCGCTCTATATATTAACATGTGAAGAGACGGAATATATTAAATATAAAAAACATTGACAAAAAACGGTTCAGTATAATTCTAAAATAATATTCGTATACTGGCAGGGTTGTGATTAATATAATCAAAGGTGGAAGAGAAAAAAATTAAGTTATCCACAAAGGTTCTGTAACTTACATTCAATAGCAAATATACTAATTAAATGTCTTCCAATTAATTATTAAGATGCAAATTCTAATCAAAATGTCTGTTCATTATTCATAAAAGATAATAATTGCAAACTAACTGTTTGATGTATTCTTTTATAATTAGTAATTGCTTCTAACCGTGGTATCATATATTATAAATCCACATAGTTTAAAAATGAATCAATTTCACGACGTGAAAGAAACTGCTTGTACTTATATTTAATCGGGATTTTTATAATAAAGTTATCATTTTATCAATATTGCAGCTGTTTATATATTTATATAACTATTGTGGTATATAGGAACATATGGTGTGACTCACAAGTCAATTCTACAAACGCATATTTTTGTCATTTAGCATAACGATTACTGATTGTGTGTAATTTCATACTATAATGTAAATATAATTACAAGAATACTTAACTTTAATTAGAAATATATATTAGTACTATTTTAATCAAATATTATTAAAATCAATTCTATGGAATTCTAAAAAATGAGTATTAATTCATTTGAGTCTTTCACAAATTTTTAACTGAATTAAATCAATATTCATAATGATCCATTTATGTTCAATTTATTTTATCTATGATGTTTGTGACATCAACTGTACTTATGTTTTTGATACTTATTAGATATTTTAAGATAAAATAAATAGATTAAAATTTATGTGTGAACTCATAGAACATATATAAATCATAATAATAATGGAGTGGTAAACTGTCCAAAATGATTAGAAAACATTGGCCTAAACTACACCAAGCTTTTACATGCCAGACAAACATATCATCAAATGCCAACAATTACACTGACAACGGGAATTGTAATTAAATTATCTGGCGTCAAACTTATAATATCTATATATTAAAAACAGCACAATAAACAGATTCAAATAACTTAATGCGTCACAACTCATAAACAATCCTCCCATTCATGAATTTTATCGACAGAAATGTTATCTTTGTTTGATGGTTTTGCATATTAAACATAACAAACACATACGAATGTGAAAAATATAAAATTCAGAATATATAGACTAATTTTAATTTGCAGTTGACATAGCATATCTAATCTCTTTGGCAAATCATTCAATTTTTAGTATTACTATTAACGGCTATCAGAACCTGAAAATTTTATAAACTTGTGATAACTTCTTAGGCGTCTATCTAGTCTATCAAATCTCTTACCACTATCTATCAAAGTTTTTAATTAGAACTTAATTTTTTTAATTCAATCCTCGCATAAAACATTTGAAAGAAATTAGTCAGCTAAGTTAAAAACATAATCTACATATTTAACATTATATTAAAAATAGCTAATTACTAATAAAAATAGTTTTCTTCATATTTTCAAAGTTTAACTATATAAGAATATATGCGAGAGGATTTTCAAAAATTTAAAGTATTTTCGGAGATAAAGCAGTTTGACCATAATAAGGCTCATGGGTTTCCTTCCATCTGCAAATTTTTAAACGCTTTTTTCTGAAAAGTGTCTTTTTCAATACTATACGCTCGATTTCTCGAATTCTTTTGGACCGATTTACTTCGAAGTGTTTAAATTTTTAAAGAATCTATTTTATAGACTTCTCTATAAAGCTTAAATACTACGAAATTTTAATTTTCACTATTTTTAAAAAAATTCGAGAAACTTAAGAAAGTGGTAAGAAATTGATATTTTTCTTCACACAATCGCCATTTTGTCAAAAATTCTTTTTTAACTTAATACTATACTAGTTAATAATACTAGTACAGTAGAACCTCGATTAACCGGACTAATTGTTGTCGATGGCATTCGGATAATCAAACATCCGGATAATCAAATGTATGAAGAATATTCTTGTGTATTTATTCAAACTAACATTTATATGCATTGAAAATCAATGTTTGTTAAGAAATTAACACTTCCTTATGTATGTACATACATATTTGCTTTGATTTCATTACATATATATATATATATATATATTAAATTGCACCATTAATCATGCAAAATTTCGAATTGTAGATATGTACATAGTATGTAAAAAATTAAAACAAAAAAGTTGCTCATTAGCAGTGGTTAAAGTGTGGGGTCTTGTTGTTAAAAGTTGACACGTGACCATGCTCACGCTTGCAACACGCCTAGTAATCCGAAATGTATAAAAGATTAATCTGAAATGTTGTCTCTATATTATATATATATATATATATATATATATATACAGTAGAACCTCGAATTTCCGGGCCTCAGTTATACGGATTCGCGATTATCCGGACTACTAACTAACCGGAAATTCGAGGTTCTATATCTATATATATAATATAGAGACACCATTTTAGATTAATCTTTTATACATTTCGGATTACTAGGCGAGTTGCAAGCGTGGGCATGGTCACGTGTCAACTTTTACAATAAGATCCCCACTTTAACCATACTAATAGCAACTTTGTTTGTTTTAATTTTGTTTGTACTATTGTAACGTTGATAAAAAATAATAATATAAAAAGGATTGTCTTGTTTTTACTATATGATTCATAAATGGCCCAACTCTATGCCTCTACTAGAATACCCCATCGATAAAAAAAAAATGAAATTCAATAACATCTAGACTCTAGAATTCTAGATTCTACTGTATCTGGAACGAACTTTGAATTCGAAAAGTTCGCGCTCAAGTTTAGTAAGCTCGAACGCTCATCTTGGTGCGAAAGCACGGTGTTAGGAAACAGCTCTACAAAACCGTACGCGAGATTAGTCATGTGTGGAGCGGTTATGGGGGAGCAACCCATGCAACCCATTCGCCGAGAGAAAAGCGTCTGTTCTCCTGGTAACGTTCACATACGCACGCTCATACGGATTTCGAGCATGTGTGACGCGCATGATGCAGGAAGGTGATATGATATGATATGATATGCATATGTACAATAAGATTTTGTAGGAAAGGGTTATATGTATAAGTATATGTATAATATATATATATATATATATATATATATATATATATATATTAGATGGTAGAGTCTTAGATTTGCAAATATTTTATAGAGCTTTGAAAAAAATCCAAAAAGTGATAAAAAACAAAAAAGTTTCTCAAAAAATCATTTATTTATTTACTGTCGACGTTTCAGAACTAGGTACGTTCCATCTTCAGGACACCTATCAAAAAACATGATCTTGATAAGATTTAAATAA